TCACACCTCCCCTACCTCACGGATTTCTGTCTCCAACGGTAAGGGTGCCCACTAATGGCTTTCAAGAGCGGAGCTAACACTCAAAAAACTTCTCATAAAAAAGCCGTGTGTGACCGGCCTCAAGCAGTTGTCCCTTGGACTCTGCGGTCACGCTCCTGGGTCTCTAAGTCCAACACTAATCTACCTTTCTTTTCAGGTTCGTCAAGAAACAATCTTCCACTGTGTGGGCAGCCAGGAAGTGACAAACGCCCTCATACCCCTAACTGCACGAGAGACCGAATTGGTCGAAATCAAATCCTTCCTACACCCACACACACCTCTCTTCTCTCCACAACGAACTCTACTCACATTCCTTTTTCTCACTGCACCGCTAATGCAGACTAAGCGAGTCTCGCTAGTGAACGCTTACCCTCTGGACCACTGAATTATCGTCGAGTGGCGTTAATGTCTAGCTTCAATCAATCAATCTATGATATTTGATATGCTTGCAGCTATTTGCGAGTTCACCTTACTCGGTAAACGGAACGAAAATCAATGATGCAGTGACATGATAGGCTATCCTAATCCGATTGTCCTAAGCGCCGCTAACTAGAGCAAGAAGTCTGGATAAGACAGAGAATATCTTCCACAAGCACGATGTCCAGAAGCACACAGCTCAAACTTATTTATAAAACGCCGCTGGTTGGAGCCACAAAATAGCGTACTAAAATAATCTATCAACCAATGACAGTCGAGGATTTTCGAGTGGGAAATATAAACTGTAGGTTAACTAAGTGTCTTTGGCGTGAATACATAAAAATTCAAAATTTCAGTACAAAATTACAAAATTAGTACCTTTTTCCAAGTGAGTTCTGAAGATCTAACGTCCCCACCCTACTGCATAACTACCATTCATTCTCTTCAATGGGTAACTGCTTCACACCTGACATATTTGAACTCCAGTAGTCACAGTTTCTCATTAGCACTCATAGGACCTCCTCATGAAGCCATTCACTAGTAGTAAGTACATGATAGTTGTCATTGCTAAGCTTCATTGAAATCATGATCTGAAGATTCAACATTTCCCAGGTTTCCAATGATGGCTTAACATTCTTTCTTGACGGTGGACATATACACGTTGTTAAATGAGAAAGCATTTAAAGTGAAAGAGTTAACTCTGCCCATTCTTGACCTTGACAAGAGCATTCTACTTTTAATCGCTTTACTTACCCTCGATTACCTTGTAGAATGTGTGTACTTTTATCTCGAGCCCATACTGGCTTGTCTAGCCCATTGTCCCCAAGTTATTATTCCCTTACCTTTTGACCTTGTCAATCATTCGTTCATATCTTGGCTGTTTTTTGTTTGAGTGTGTGTGGGCCTCTTACTTCGTTTATCGCATGTCTAGCCTATTTTCTCCTGACTACAAATTCTTAGTCGTGGCTTATCGTATTGGGTTAGCTCACTTGCTCTCTCTAGTTCGCTTTGCTTTGATTTTACGCTTTTATTCAATAAAAGTCAAGCGAACTATTATATAAACAAACACAAGTACTTTTATTCGGCATTTATCCTTCCCCTAAAGTTAAAACGTACAACTTCTCAAGTACGTGCATTAGTGTTCAAGTTGCCGTACCATATTAACACACAGAGATCGAATCGCTCAATACTAGAGGGTAGTATATAAGTATTATCGATCATCAGGAAGATTACGAATCGAAGATTATGATTCAAGTAATTTATAACATAGTGAAATAAATTGTTTTACAATAGGAAAAACGTCATGAAGAATTGTGAGGCTTTGGATTTGAGAGAACACAAACAATGGATGCACTTGCGCCTGAGATATAATTGTCAATTCAAATCCCATAGTAATAGAGGTAGTAGAAGTATTAGCAGTAACGGGAGAGATTAGGGTTCGAAGATGTTATTCAAGAAGTATAATGCAGTGAGGAATATTTAGAAGGAGAAAGATAGAGGTGTTGACGAATCTAGAAGATTAGGATTTTAGAGAACACAAAGAATGGACGCACCCGCGTCATTGCAAATGATTTTCAGTCATGTCGTTCAAGGTCTCTAACCATTGCTTACTATCGTGTTGTGTTACCCCAACTAGGTAGTCGACACCTATCAACATGACTCAGTCCACTTGTCAGTCAATTCATGGACTTCTGCCATGTTTTGGTCTGGCCACCCCTAACTTTCTTTCACCCTACTCCTAAACCACAAAACATAGCTCTCCAAGGCAGCCGGTGGTTAGGCATTCGTAACACATGTCCTAACCACCGCAACTGATGAAGTTTCACTACTTCATCTACTGAGCTGCCATCCTTACCTAATAGTACCCTTTTCCTATCACTAGCATTGCTTACTCGATCGCTTCAAGATATATAAGCAATTCCCCCTTGAAAATGATGAATTGAATTGACCTACTTACTGACTGATTAGGTTCATCCTAAAAATCAACGCTTCTTTCCAATCACATTGAATTGAATCAGTCTACAATACTTTACATGTCATAATAGGTTTTAGTATACTGTTGATCAATTCTTAGCCTTATACTTGCGTTAACTTACTGTCTTGTGTAATTTTTAAGATATTCATCCAATATCCTGAGAGAATTATTTTGTAAGTTTAATTCTATTGGTTAATTCCTATAGATCGTCCTGACTATCAATGTCACAAACTTCAAATGTTGTTTCCTATTCGACTTAACTGTATAAATATGCATTATCTGTAACATTTTACGACTCGGATCCTTAGTCCAGATTCCTTACCATCTTCTGGACTCGAACCTCGTACTGTCTTTCTACTTGTAGAATACACATTCTACTTCATATCAAGTCTTCTTTCTTTTACTCAATGGGGGAAGGGGGGTGTTGGGACGCTCGGATTAGAGTAGTAGTAGTAGCCTATCGTGTCTCCGGATCATCGATTCTCACTCTCGTTCATCGACTAAAGGTGAACTCGTCGTAGTTCAAACATATCAATCCAACGTGTTGACATGCACTCGTTACAGTAATACTAGAAAGAAGTAAATTTGAAAATTTTGAACTCTCTTATTACGCCTGCTCGTAAACACGTCAACCTAGTCGGAAAACGAAAGCGAGGATCCGGCGACACGACATGCTACTCAAATCCGATTATCCTAACCCCCATATTTAGTAAAAATAAGAAGAGATGATATGAAGTAGAACATGTATTCTACAAGCATCCAGAAAGTGCGATGTCCGAATCCAGAAGAGAATCGGGATCTGGGACCGAGTCCTGGTCTTGGTCGTGGTCATAAACCGTTACAGATAATGCGTATTTATACATTTCGGTCGAATAGGAAACATCATCGAAGTCTGTGACATTGACAGTTAAGATGACCAATAGGAAGTAACATTTGAAATGACATTGACAGTCCAGATGACCAGTAAGAGACAACATTGAAGTATTTGACCTTGACAGTTTAGACACTACCAACATGACTCAGTCCACTTGTCAGTCAATTCATGGATTTCTTCCATTTTTTGGTCTGGCCGCCCCTAACTTTCTTCTAACCTACTTCCACACCACAAAACGTTGCTCGTCGAGGCAGTCGGTGGTTAGGCGCATTCGTAACACATGTCCCAACCACCTCAACTAATGAAGTTTCACTACTTCATCTACTGAGCTGCCATCCTTACCTAATAGTACCCTTTTCCTATCACTAGCATTGCTTACTCGATCGCTTCAAGATATACGAGCAATTCCTCCTCGAAAATGATGAATTGAATTGACCTACTTACTGACTGATTAGGTTCATCCTATGGATCAATGCTTCTTTCTAATCACATTGAATTGAAGTAGTCAATAATACGTTACATGTCATAATAGGTGTTAGTATGTTAATAATCAACTCGTAGCCTTATACTTCTGTTAAAGTACCGACTTGTGTAATGGTTAAGATATTCATCCAATATCCTGAGAGAATTATTTTGTAAGTCTAATTCTATTGGTCAGTTCCTATTGGTTAATTCCTGTAGCTCGTCCTATCTATCAATGTCACAAACTTCAAATGTTGTTTCCTATTCGACTTAACTGTATAAATATGCATTATCTGTAACATTTTACGACCCAGATCCTTAGTTCAGAATCCTTACCATCTTCTGGACTCGGACCGTGTACTTTGTTTTTACTTGTAGAATACACGTTCTACTTCATATCAAGTCTTCTTTCTTTTACTCAATGGGGGAAAGGGGTTGTTGGGATGCTCGGATTAGAGTAGTAGTAGCCTATCGTGTCTCCGGATCATCGATTCTCACTCTCGTTCATTGACTAAAGGAGAACTCGTCATTGTTCAAGCATATCAATCCAACGTGTTGACATGCATTCGTTACAGTAATACAAGAAAGAAGTAAATTTGAAAATGTTGAACTCTCTTGTTACGCCTGCACATAATCACGTCAACTTGATATACTTGAACTATTACGAGTATACCTTAGTCGGAAAACGAGAACGAGGATCCGGCGACACGACGTGCTACTCAATCCGATTATCCTAACCCCCATATTTAGTAAAAATAAAAAGACTATATATGAAGTAGAACATGTATTCTACAAGCATCCAGAAAGTGCGATGTCCGAATCCAGAAGAGAATCGGGATCCTGGACTAGGGAACCGAGACCGAGCCCTGGTCCTGGTCATAAAATGTTACAGATAATGCGTATTTATACATTTCGGTCGAATGAGAAACAGCATCGAAGTCTGTGACATTGACAGTTTAGGACAACCAATAGGAAGTAACATTTGAAATGACATTGACAGTCCGGATGACCAATAAGAGACAACATTGAAGTATTTGACCTTGACAGTTTAAACCACCATAATTTTGACCAATAGAAATCGACCAATAAGATTTGACCAATAATTAATTCTCTTAGGATATTGGATAAGAATATCCTAACATCTCTTATCTAATCCACATTGAAATTGTATTGTTTAATTGTGAATTTTTATTCATTCATTCCTGCCTTCTTCTTCAACTACTATTAACAAAGGTGCTCCATTTCCTCGTGATTTTCTCAATGTTGTCAAAGTGATATTGAAACGTTTATTTCGTGTTTATGCACATATTTATTATCAACATTTTTCGGAAGTGCGTGATTTACAAGAAGAAGCACATTTAAATACAAGTTTTAAACATTTTATTTATTTTGTATTGGTAAGTGCATTTTTGTGCATTTTTGGTATTTTTCTCATTTATATTACTGTCTTTATATATATATATATATATATATATATATATATATATATATATATATGGAGAAGGCTGGATTAGGCTTTTGCCAACCTGCGTGTCATTGATGGCGTAGGTGAGATATTCGCTTGTTAAGCAACTAAAGGACGAGTGTACTGCGCAACAGTTCGTTCTGTCCTACTACTATACGGATGCGAAACATGGTCGTTAAGAGTAGAGGATATTCGTGGGTTACTGGTTTTCGATCATAGGTGTATCCGAAGCATTGCTTGTGTATCATGGGACGACCGAGTAAGCGATGCTGTTGTTAGGAAACGAGTTCTAGGTAAGGATGGTAGATCAATAGATGAAATAATGAAACTTCATCAATTGAGGTGGTTGGGACATGTGTTACGAATGCCCAACGAACGACTGCCTCGACGAGCTTTATTTTTTGGTGTAGGAGTAGGCTGGAAGAAAGTTAGGGGCGGTCAAATCAAAACATGGCAGAAATGCATGAAGTCACTGACAAGTGGACTGAGTCATGTTGGTGGATGTTGCTACCTGGTTGAGGTCCGCGGGACGAAAGTCACCAATGGTTAGAGACCTTGAACGACATGGTTCAAAATCATTTGCAATGGCGCAAGAGCATTCATTCTCTGTGTTCTCTCAAATCCTAATCTTCTGAATTCTTCATCACTTTATCTTTCCGTTTTCAAGTTTATTTCACTAGATTCTACTTCTTGAATATTATCCTCAAACCCTAATCTCTCGGATTACTGCTTATACTATTACTACCTCTGTGGTGAACGAGAACACAGGTGGGGCAACCGAATTGTATATAACGAAAATTACAGAGTTACTCAGTAAAATCATCGGAAAACCATATCGTAAATCGTTAATTTGCACAATATATCAGTCCATCATCATATCGAACTGGACTGTTCCTGTTGCAAAAAAACATCAATCCATTGTCACTATTCATGTGTTTCATACAAATTCCATTGTGTTCTTCTAACTCTTCCTTTCTTGATCTTCCCCCATCTTCTCTTCTGCTGCCAGACATTACGTTGACACTCACGTCATATACTACTTATAAGTAGCTTGCACCACACCTCTACTACAATAGGATTTGTATTGACGGGTACATTTCTGTGCTAATGTGGTATGGCAACATGTACTGATGTACGTACGTACGCACGAAGTTCTACGTCGCTGTTGATTGGTTCAGTGAGTGATGCATCCCTTTGCATCAACATTGCATAGGACGTACACATGAGTAGTAGTGCAACTCATTACAAAACTTAGATCAAAACAGAATTTCCAGTCAACTTATTTCTATCATCTTAAACAATTGATCATTCCCTAATTTATTGAAAACTATTTTATTCTTTTTTAAATAAAAAAAATTAGAATTTCCATTTAAAAAAAAACTCAATTTTATTTATTTATTATTCTTCTTACAGGAATTTAATTTAGTACAAAAACGTGAACTTGTACCATTACAACATTTAATTGATTTATTAACAACCAATGATCAATACAACAATAATAATAATAATACTGATAATAATAATGACGGTTCTACATCCCATAATCATTCAATACATACAACGACTACCACTACTACTGATAACAATATTAGTAGTACAGTGAATGATAGTTAATTTTTTGCCCGCATACATATCTCTCTTTTTATATAATAATATAGATCGATAAAATATTATTAGATGAGTGGTGGTGTACTTTTATTCTTTCGCAATTAATCTCATAGTGATCAATGTGATGATGATGATGATGATGATGATGATGATGATGACGACGACAATTTATATGCGTATCCTTGATTTATGCCTTCATTCTTTGTTTTTTTTTTGCCCTATACACACTGACTTGTTGATGAGTTTTTATTTGCTTCGGGGTGGTGGTATTGTAACTGTACTTTGTTGTTTTTGTTTGACACATGAAAATTGTACTATTCTCGCCTTTTTTTCACCGAAAAATATTTTCTCCTGTATGTATAATTTAGAGTAATATTTTTTACTTTTTGTTGGTATACCAAAAATCAAAGAACACAGTACATATATAAATATACATATATAATATACATAAATGATAAATCATCTCTTGTGTTGTTGTTATCACTGCGTGATTTTTCACGCTACAGACAGGATAGTTCTTCTTTAAGCAGTCAGGTACAACGTCGAACGTTGTATGTGCTTACGTAAGTACGCCAGTTCAAGTTGCCATATCCCCGACCGTAGCTGCTACCTTGACGTGGTGGTCGGAATAGCCTATCGTGATGACCCAACCGAACTATATTGGCTGGATTATATGTTCCTGAAGGTTCTACTATGCCAGGCAGGTCGATTGGAGAACAATGAGACTAAAAGCAGCTACTCAAGGTCTGAGAGCGAAGTCGTACTACTGACTGTGATGGAGGGGTGTGACAGAAGTAAGGTGTTTCCCTCGGACAACCAGCAGCATCTTCAACGATGCTGCCTTCTCACAAGGAAGGAAGGATTCGAAATGATCGACCCTAAAAATGTCACACCTCACCCTACCTCAAGGATTTCCGTCTCCTTGGGTAAGGGTGCCCACTAAGGGCTTTCAAGAGCGGAGCTAACAATCAAAAAACTTCTCATAAAAACGCCGTGCGTGACCGGCCTGAAGTAGCTGTGCCCGGGACTCTGCGGTCACGCAACCAGGTCTCCGAGACCAACACTAATCTATCTTCCTTTTCAAGTCACTCAAGAAACAACCTTCCACGGTGTGGGCAGCCAGGAAGTGATAACCGCCCTCATACCCGTAACAGCACACGAGACCAAACTGGTCGAAATCATATCCTTCCTACACCCACACATATCATATTGGTGCACAGCGATTGAGTGGTCGTTTGAAATCTGACAGTGTGGGTGGAGGAGGGGACCTGAAAACGAAACGGGATTAGTGGTATTATATATATAAACAGCGTAAGAGCATTTTGGTTGATAGACTAAAAGATACTTAGCTGATTGAAGTAGGTTACTGTATTTTAATGTGTTGGCATCACATTTCAAAAGGTTTTACTGTGTAGTAGCCCAATTGGACGTCAGGCTCACCATTTGTATGGTGGCCGTTTTTACTGCGTGTTCTTAAGCTCGGTAATTTAACTCGTCCAGACAATCGCTACTGACTAGCGTCTGACGGTTTCATAAATCAGAAGGTGAACTCGTAGTGTTGAATACGTCTAATTTGGGACACACCACAAAGAGAAGCAGTGAATAAAACGAATGATTTGGAGAAGGCTGTTGAGCCAACTCAAAGAGATAGAGCGTGACTAAGAATATACAAAGTCAGACAAATATACGACAGACCATGTGTCCAACGAGGTAGGCATGCACACATGAATAAAATCGACGAATAGTTGACAAGGTCAAATGACAAGTGGAACACATCATGTGAACTCATACAAACCAGACAATAATAAGAACGAATGGTACATATGAGTTGTTGCAATACAAATTGGCGTGGTTAAATAAATTAATCGAAATGGCTTAACCAAATTAAATGTAAGCGAACTGGAATATATGTTGTGGAGGCACTACAAATTCATGATGTCGACGCAACTCAAACAAACTTCACAACCGTTTATTCATTATAAAAATATCAATGAACTGAACAAATTCTTGTAGAATGATGTAACTTGATTTACATATATTGTGTTCAACAGAATCATGATATAAGTCAGAGATACCTTGTTCATTGATTGGTTTGTGTTCATCGCACAATTCTTTTTTGTACTTTGGTAAATACTCTGCATAGAAATGGAAATAAATTTAAAATTTCTTAGAGTCAGAATTTCAGCAGGTAACCTAAGTTGAGTTGTTTTTAGACTAGATCTTTTCTAAATCTTTTATTCGCTAGTCAGATTCTGAAGGAGGAACACCTGTTATCACACCCCTCTGCATAATCATCAATGCGTTTTATCCTTCGGACTTGAAGTCTTGGCGTCCTCCAGCCGACACTCGTTATATGATACTTTAAAGGAACAAGTGTTCCAGTTCTATATACCTATATCGTTTAGGTTGTTACCACACACAAGCCTTACTCATCATTTCAAGATAGCAGTTAAAGTTGAAAAATATATTAACTTGAAAATGAAATTCTCTAATTTTGACTGCATAATTTATCACCATTTGAAACTGTAGCTGCATTAAATCAGGCGTCGCGCTCACCAGTTTATGTAGGTGCATTGTGTTCTAAGTGGAGGTCCACTAATGTATGTGTGCTGCGTTATGTTTGTCGTCGGGTGGTGAATATTCGTTTATTGCTCGTCCTGATAACCGTTAGTAAATGTATAAATGAGAAGATGATTTCAAAGCGTTGTTGATTACGTTTATTATCGCACCACACATAGATCACAAAACCACCGGCATACGATGTGAAATTGAAAATGACATGTGAGCACCAAAAAGCTAAACAGTGAACGTCTTATAATTTATATACCGTTGGGCGTTATCTAGTACCCGTTATCAGGACGAGCAGTATACGAAATTTGGGAATATATTGAATACCGATCGCCACAGAATTGGTTAGTCGGACGACCAACACAATACAGCCCGCATAAATTGACGAACCTCCTCTTAGAATACAACTCACAAAACAAAAAGCACTTGGTTTGATTCCTTCCATAACATCACTATTGCAATGTAGGTTTAATTCAGTAGACGAGTTCCAAATAAGGAAGAAACTCACCTGCTAGTCAAAATACTATTTATTCTATAAGAAAAATTGGTCGGCATATCTATTTATAACTCATTTCACAGATGTTCATAAGAGTTACAGCCTAGTATTTATAGTATTTAGCTTTTAACTACTAACTCATTAAGGTGAGAAACTCCGCCTGAAGCCTCTCTGAGGCTACTGCCGGTCCGAATTCTGGATAAAATAGGAGGGTTCGGCGTGTGGGTTTATTGACTCCATCTCACAGAAAACACTCTAGAAAAACGCTAACCAACGCAGGTGTTGGGGATGTTAGATCCCCAGAACTCACTTGATAAATGCCTTATTTTGGATTTCACGTTTGTGAGCATGGGGTGATCAGTTAGTTTACCTTGAGATTTCATTTCCCACCAGGAAAATCCATGGCTGTGATTGGCTGCTGTGGTCTATTTTCGTAACTGTCCCAAGGACCTGTCTATGATGTATAAATAAATGGGAGTTGTATGCTTGATTGTATTGTGTGATTGCTGGGTGTTTGTAGAATATACTTTCTACGCTTACCAAGACTTCTGTTTTAGATTTTGGGATTCAAGCTGGTAATTGTCTCGTTTGTGTTTATCGACTAAGGTGAACTCGTAATAGCTTCAAGCGTACCTAGTGACAAACATAACAGCAGGCTATACTCCTCCACTGCGGATAACAGGCCTACTTAAGTATTTAAGTGACCAATTCAAAACCCGTTTAACTCTTACAGTCATTTGTTATATTTTGAAAACAGTTGGTCAACTTTTGACTTGATTTAGTGAGTTGTTTTAAACAGTTTTCATAGTATCGAAGATTTCTATCGTGATGAAACTTAGAACAGCACAATATATAAGCAAACAATAATGTTGTTTTCAATTAGATCTTCATCAGGCTTTACTCTAATCTAATCTATATGAAAATGTTAAACCAAATCAAGGCAACTTATTATGAGTCCAATGATTACACAATGAAATAGAGATTACGTATGTAGTGAAAGAGAACACAGGTAGGGACAACAAAATTGTATTTAACGAAAATTACAGAGTTACTCAGTAAAATCGGAAAACCATATCGTAAATCGTTCATTTGCAAAAGATCAGTTCATCCTATGGAACTGGACTGTTCCTGTTGCAAAACATCAATCGATTGTCACTATTCATGCGTTTCATACAAATTCCACTGTGTTCCGAACTCTTCCTTTCTTGATCTTCCCCTATCTTCTCTTCTGCCAGACATTAAGTTGGCACTCACGTCATATACTACTTATAAGTAGCTCGCACCACAAGTAAAAGTACAAATCGATAATCGGAAGACAAGTGTACTATTAGTAGTGATAAGAATAATATAATACAATACAATAACTAAAGTTCTTGTCAATAGTTCAACATTAAAAGTAGAAAGTAGGCCAAACGTGGATAATTAGACTCACTAGTGACTAGCTTGGTGAGGAATCTTCTCCGAGTTCTAGTGGGAAGACGACCAGTGAAGTTAAACCTGTTCGGGCGTAGACAGTAACTACCGAAGACTGTGTATGAGGTTTCGCAACTCCGTGAATTTGATTAAGTTAGACATTAACGCCGTTAGATACCGGCTCAGTGGTCTAACGGTTAGGGCGTTCGCGCACAATACCGAAGGTCCTGGGTTGGAATCCTGTGGGATGCAGGAGTCGTGGATGCGTACTGTCACTGAGGAGTCCCATACCGGGACGAAACGGCCGTCCAGTGCTTCCAGGTGTCTAATGGTGGTTGGTCTAACATTGATCGATTCATGGTTTCAAAAGTGTGTAACTTAACGATCCTCACAACCCCGTAATGCAAATAACAATAATCACAAAGCACTATTAGAATCACCTAATAAGCAGAGTGTTCTAACACGGTAAATGAAATATCTCAATAACAACTATACGTTCGTTTCATTTACAAAAATTATCTGCTTAGTTATGACTCAGCTTTTAAACAGAAATATTTTCTGTTCTGCTCCTTGCCCCTTCCTCTCTAGTTCACCTATTTCATCATTTCATCCTACTTCTTAATCAGCGTCGAAGAGTTGGTTGTTTAAACCAACAAGAAGATCATTACACATTTACCACATCAGTTCTTGTTATCTACAGACTTGGATTTATCTTGAATTGGTTCTCAACCAACAGTGGTTCTTCACAAAGCACGTAATTAGAAGAGTGTAAAATAATCAATCAGATGGTGAAGAATATAAACGGAAAGTGGTGAAAACAATGACATCCGGCCAATGATAGGACAGAGGTGTGACGAATTATTTCTGAACACATAAATTAGGATTGAATGTTCGGATTGCTATGGCTTCTGCTATGTATATGTAGGAGACGGGATCGAACTTCGTTGGTAAATGATGTAGGTATACGAGATAGATCACTAGAT